GTGAAAGCTTAGGCTACAGGATTGTCATAGAACATGGGGGAAAATGACAAATTAATCTGTCTACTGTAAATCACATTCCTGTTTTTAAGTTTCACTTCTATTGGAAATAGTGTGCGCGCATGCGTGTTTGCGTGTGTATGTGTGTGTGTGTTGGTGTGGTATGAATGTGAATGCCTGTGTGTGTAAGTATGTCCATGCATGTGTATAGACTATAAGCTTGTTCCAAACAACCCCGCACACCCCTAGTGAGAAGAGAGACCAAGGGCAAATTATGAGCGATTAGCCTGATTTCCACCACCTCCAGCTGCCTCGGATGTGGGGCACACCGTGTGGAGGTAGAGGGGGACTAATTGACAATTCACCAGGCTCTTGGCACAAGGAGCTATCATGCCAAATTGACTTAGGTCTCAGGGCATCTGCCGATAATGTACTTTTCAGGGGTTTGAAACTTCACCAAGACTGTTTATCAGACTCAACTTTTTCAAATGTAACACCTGGCAGGCCAAAAATTCACCTCATCATATATTTCAACAAATAAAAAATGTATGGTTGAAAGGTTTCTCTCTCTATATCTCTCTCGCTCCCGCCCTCTCTCTCTCTCTCTAAGCTAAAATATAATACAATTATACACTGAGTGTACAAAACATTAAGAACACCTTTCTCAGTATTGAGTTGCACCCACCCCCTTTAACTAATCAACTTCTATTAGTGTTTTATTTTTCATAAATGTTTTAGAAATGTTAGAATTGTTCTTCCACTTTGACATTACATAGTATTCTGTGTAGGTCATTGACAAAAATTGACAATTAAATCCATTTTAATTCCACTGTAATACAAAATGTGGAAAAAGTAAAGGGGTGTGAATAGTCTGAAGGCACTGAGTATACTAAACATTAAGAACACCTTCCTTATATTGAGTTGCACCACCCCCTTCTGCCCTCAGAACAGCCTCAATTCGTTCTGGCATGGACTCTACAAGGTGTCGAAAGCGTTCCACAGGGATGCTGGCCTATGTTGATTCCAATGCTTCCCACAGTTGTATCTAGTTGGCTGGATGTCCTTTGGGTGGTGGACCATTCTTGATACACACGGGAAACTGTTGAGCATGAAAAACCCAGGAGCGTTGCAGTTCTCGGCACAAACCGGTGCGTCTGGAACCTACTACCATACCCCTTTCGAAGGCACTTCAATCTTTTGTCTTGCCCATTCACCGTCTGAATGGCACACATACACAAACCATGTCTCAAGACTTAAAAATCCTTCTTTAACTTGTCTCCTCCCCTTCATCTACACTGATTGAAGTGGATTTAACAAGTGACATCAATAAGGGATCATAGCTTTCACCTGGATTCACCTGGTCAGTCTGTGTCATGGAAAGGTGTCAGGTGTTCTTAATGTTTTGTATACTCAATGTATATTATGAATCAACATGAATGATGTCAACGTTTTATCAAAGTTGGAAACAAAGATGTGTCAAATGGCAATACCATGGCAATTATTGAGGATACAATCCAGTTTTATTGAACCATGTGTTTCATTTGCCTTTCTAAATCACTACAGATTTTGAACCACATAAACCTATAGGTGAAAATGAGCTACATAACTACCCCAGAGCTAGTTACGTTGTGTGACATTTAAAACAATACACTGTCACTATGATGAAGAATGTGTCTGATCCAGCTAACGGGGTTCCCCCTCATTAACGTTTTTAATTAGCACATCAGTGCTTCATCATATAAATGATGCACAGCACTAACTGATCTGAACCTGGTAATGTGTGTGTGTGTGTGTGTGTGTGTGTGTGTGTGTGTGTGTGTGTGTGTGTGTGTGTGTGTGTGTGTGTGTGTGTGTGTGTGTGTGTGTGTGTGTGTGTGTGCGTGCGTGTGCGTGCACGCGTGCGTGCGTGCGTGTGTGTGGCAGTGAACAATGAACAATAGGTGTATGCAGCAGCCTTGAAAAACACAGCTACATTAGCCTTAGCACCAAAATACTGTATTTTGTGTTTGCTAATGTTTAAGGGTTGTACAGTACTATTATGTGGTGGATATACAGATAGTAACATCTAATATATATATAAAGTTGCATGAATATATATGCAAACTTCTATTCTATTGTGTTCTTTTCATGAACATGGACTGCAAGCGTTCAGCATCATCACAGATCCATACAGTTACATTCAACACCAGATTTCCCATTTTGAGATGACAAACCACTGGCAATATGTGAACTCTCAACTCTTCTCTATATTGGACATTACAGCAATAAGGGCCAAAAAAAGACAGTTCAAAAAGTGTTGAAAAGTATTATATTATGGAATAGCATAATCGCATAGATGCTTGCTCCAGTTTTGGTGCTTCATGTTTCAATAACGTAAAGTAGAAGCAGCCTTAAGGCATTGTTGTTATAGAGGCTAGATCCATTTCTGTATCCATGGATACAAGGGCAATCGTGATTTGATTTGTTTTCAACAGTACCTTTTGCATGAGACAGGACTACTGAACAATAGACCAGCAAATGTCTGACTCTTTGGCCAAGTGTGAAATGTAAGGTTCGTATCTGAAGGCCAAGAGAGACATCTTTGTAACATTCTGTCCAAGACGTATCTCAATACATTTTCTTAGTTTCAAGGTATTTTCTGCAGGCTTCTCCACAGGGGGAAAAAACATGTGTTTATGACTTCTTGATTGACACTGGTTGGACTTTCCTACACTTCTATAAATAGAAGAGTGTGTGACAAAGAGAGGGAGGGAAACAAAAAGAAAAACTCAGCCTTACTGAGTAACTATTTATGTCCAGGTGTGAAAAGAAAAGGAGAGAAGAGAAGAGAAGAGAAGAGAAGAGGAGAGGAGAGGAGAGGAGAGGAGAGGAGAGGAGAGGAGAGGAGAGGAGAGGAGAGGAGAGGAGAGGAGAGAAAGGAGATCATAACACCATCTTCATTGACAGGGATCCAGAGTGAGTTCGAGAGATGCAACAAGCCTGCAGTAACAACTGTAAATCGATATGCTTCATAACAAGTATGTCAGAACAAATGCAAGACTTGAATAGGAGTGGAGGAGGTTAGGGAAGCAATTTTAGGATCAAAAGAGCTTGGACCGTGCTTCTACATCTGCATTGCTTGCTGTTTGGGGTTTTAGGCTGGGTTTCTGTATAGCACTTTGTGACATCTGCTGATGTAAAAAGGGCTTTATAAATAAAATTTGATTGATTGATTGATTAAAAAGTGATGCGTAAACCATTCACTCCTGTGGATGAGATGACAAAACTTATCAGAATGAATGTAATGAATGTAGAGTTTTGGTAACTCACAATGCCAAATAGGAAAATGTTATATACGCACATCTATTGTCCCTGAGCAGGTCCTGGATATCAGTTTTTGTTCAATAAAAAGTAAAAAGAGACTGAAAAGAGACACTGTGATAGGTTGTGAAATAACTCCCAATACCAACTTTTCTGTATTTAGCCTATAAATAGCCTATGCAATGAATGTTTCCTCCTACAACCACTACACTTGAAATGAATTGAATAATATGTGCAAGATAGACTTTGTTGTTCAAGGTCATATTATTGTATCAACAAGTTTCTCTTTAGTTTTTTCTTTATTCTTTGTTTGCTCCACTTCACTGCATTGGGACTTCATATTGTCTGCCTTTCTGTCTGTCTGTCTGTCTGTCTTTCTTTCTTTCTTTCTTTCTTTCTTTCTTTCTTTCTTTCCGGCCCGTTCCTGCTCCCCGCACCAAGCCAGTGGTGCGCGTCGCCAGCCCGGTCCGGCCTGTTCCTGCTCCCCGCACCAAGCCAGTGGTGCGCGTCGCCAGCCCGGTCCGGCCTGTTCCTGCTCCCCGCACCAAGCCAGTGGTGCGCGTTGTCAGCCCGGTCTGGCCCGTTCCTGCTCCCCGCACCAAGCCAGTGGTGCGCGTCGTCAGTCCGGCACGGTCCGTGCCTGTTCCACCGGTGCCTGGTCCGGCACCGGTCAGCTGCTCCACACCGGAGCCAAAGCAATCCGCTCCACCGATATCCAGTCCAGCTCCGGCCAGCGGGACCAGACCAGGGGCGCTACGGGGGTTAGAGAGAGAGTGGTGGTCACGCCCGGAGCCGGATCTGCCTCCGAGGCGGAATGCCCACCCGGCCCCTACCCTCTTGTGTTTGGTTGGCGCGGTCGCAGTCCGTCACGCCCTGGCTCTGGGGACTCTTATATGTTGAGCCAGGGTGTGGATTTTCTATGTGTTATTTTCTATGTTTTGTTCTAGTTCGTGTATTTCTATGTTGGCCAGGGTGGTTCCCAATCAGAGGCAGCTGATTCTCGTTGTCTCTGATTGGGGACAATACTTAGGCAGCTTGTTTGGCACTGTTTATTGTGGGATCTTTGTTCCGGAAGGTTTGTGTTGGTGTTATTTAACCTAGGACTTCACGTATCGTTTGGTTTGTTGTTTTTGTTCGTGTTGTGGTGTACTTAAATTAAAGATGTACGCATATCACGCTGCGCCTTGGTCCGCATCTTGTAGCGATGTCAATTGATTTAGGTTAAAAGTTGGGTGAAAAAAATACGAAATTGATGACTTTTTGCATATCCAATTCTGTTTCCCGTATTGATTCAACTTCAACACATAGATTTGGGGGGTTGAAATGACAACGTTGATTCAACCAGTTTTTGCCCAGTGGTCTGTCTGTCTGTCTGTCTGTCTCTTCTTGTGAAAGCATCACAAAACAGCATCATCTCAAATGAACCACAGAGACATGCCCATATGAAACGTTTAGCTGGAGGCATAGCCCCCTTTATGCGTCTCTTGACACGGTTATGGAGATAGGGGTAATTGGGTAGAGCCCTCTTGGCGTCACAGTTTAAGGCATATGTCAATTGAGGTGGAGATCCAGTCGAATTAACTACACACTCCCACAGCATAATCTCTAGATTAATCACGGTTCATGTGTTCTTGGGCCTCCGTGACGAAACGGCACAGATATAAAAGCGCACCTGGTGACGTTTAGTTGCCAAAGGAGAACAGGCAAGGGGAAAGATTTGGTCTACCTACAGAGCGAAGGGGAGAAGACAAACTACATGAAAATGATTTCAAATATCCCATTTTGCTGTTTAACTGCACTTGTACTTCTGAACTTGGTAGGAGCCAACCCCATGTCAAACCTACAGGTAAGCTAGTGCTTCATGGGCCAAAGTCTCTTGATCATTGCTATTTTGCTGTTCTTCTTATTCCACCAATTCATATATATATATATATATATATATATATTATTGTAAATGATGGAAGACTGTTTCAAGTGGCTTTAAGTGACATTGAGGTTAATAATTCCATGGTTTCTCTCCGTTAGAGCTTGAAACAGCTTCTGGAGGAGGAGAGTCATGTACCATATTACACGTCGGAGGAGATGGGGGTGGATGGGAAAGACTTCATTACAGAGAACACCGCGGAAGAGGTGCCTCCTTGGGACTCCGAAGATGCAAGGGATCCCGCGCTGACGGGAAAGGAGAACGCAATTGCGCGTCTTCTCAATGACATTATGACGACCCCCAAGCGCTCGTGGAGCCGGTTCAAGAAGGGTGGACTGAGAAGCTGCTTCGGCGTCAGGCTAGAGCGAATTGGGTCATTCAGTGGGCTTGGATGCTAAAGGACAGGTATGGTTATCCTCTGCGTCAATCCAACCGAATGAAATTCTCCACTCAAGCTGTAGCCACAGTATGATGGAGTTGAATTTATATTATAATGTGTTTATTTGAACTATCAAATAAATGCAATATTGTTTCTCAAGACCGGCTCTATGTTTTGTGTTGTTTCTGCAGGGTTTGGGCTGTTGATCAGAGCACAAGAAACGACCCTTACTTGAACTCTTCGAGAAGGATGAACCTCATCACCTCAGAAAGTATCGACTGAGAGTTTACAATGGCGTTTGTGATGAGATGTATTTAAATTTGTGGTTCGCATTTGGCATATTTAAATTGTTATTATTTTAGAACTGACGAATTTTCATTTTTGGCTCTTGCTATAATATACTATTGTTGAATGTATTTATCTATTTATTTTGTTGTAAGAAAAAGAACGTGCAGACTTGCGATAGATTGTAGCCTAATGCGGCGAAATAAATATTTTGCATAATAAATTACTTTGTTGTGAGTTTATTGTTTCCGTTTTTTTTTACAATCTTGGTCTGGCATACCGAGACGTACACTCTCCTCACTCAAGCAAGTGAAGCATCTGTTTCTGACTAGCCAAAATCATCATCATAACTCCCAACAGCGATCAGTAGCCTATCGCAACTTCCTTCTCACCTCTCCATCCTCCACCTGACCTATTCTTAATCTCCCATCCTCACCCTCCTCCTCCTCTCATCCCCAAAGACAAAATAAAAACATGACACCTCAATAGTTACCAATAGTTATCCAGTCCAAATAATGGTCCAAACAAAATATTATCTTAAAAGGCAGTCGGACGCCGCACACAACCCTGCTCCCTTATCACTGTCAAGGCGACGGAATGTCAAGCTGAATTATGTCATAACATGCAGTCCTTGATAAGTAGGCTACTATCCGAGGCACGGGCTCTACATAAAAAGCCCCCCTAGTCATCCCGTCATTAAAACACTGAACGGGATATCTGAAACACCTCAAAAAGACCGCTGGGATTGATATCGGAATGGCAAAATTGTATATTTTCTTTGGATATATCATATTAATAATGACCCACAGTGTGAGCTGGGGAAATCTGTATGCCAGTAGGAATGTTCAAGAGTTGGAAAAATCTGAAGGTAAGACATACAGTTAGAAGCAGTTCAAAAACATAAAAAAGGCAATCAAGTTAATTGAAGTTCTTAGAATTGTGTAATTTCTGCAGACAAAAAGTAACTGGAGACATAAGCATACATTCTATGCACACAGGCCTACATTCTATATTAAAATCACCTTTCAAAGTAATACGTTATGACTATGTGACATTAATACGCGCCATTTGTTCACTTATAGGACCTGATCCAGCGGCTCGAGGACAAGTTGACCGTTAACGAGGAAAATGACCTTTATCCGTCTAAGTCTGAGGACGTGGACGCAGCCGATATGGAGGACATTGAGAACTCGCCCGCGGCGATCCGGGGGCAGGAGGAGAGAATGGTAATGAACGCACCCAAAAGAATTGCCACCGAAAGCCCTGTGGTGTCACACCTGAAAGATCTAATCGGTTTGAGGAGGACGGCCAAATCGTTCAACAGTTGTTTCGGTAACCGGATTGAGAGAATCGGCTCGTGGAGCGGACTGGGGTGCAATAACGTCAAGACTGGTATATCTGATGGCAATTATTTGAGTGGAATGCCTTTAAACAAATAAATAAGCTCAAGAATGTAGTACGATGTCAATTTGTGTGGAAAAAAGTCCATACTTTGAGGCTAAAAGGTATGCGTAAAATGTATTGGTTTTACGCACGAATTGATTTTACGCATAGCTCTGTCTATTGTAAGATATAACATAAAGGTTGTTGCAAGATCACACACACATCGATATTAACTCCATTACATTATTATAATCAAGAAAGGGCTGTATATTCTTTATTAATTGATACAATTTAGGGCTATGAGTTGAACTTCTGCATGGTGATGTTTGACTAACAATATAACCACTAAAAATGAAAATAATGAGTTGATTATGATATGATTTTAATTTGTATTTGCAGGTAACAAGAAGAGAATATCTTGGAACTGAAGAACAACGCCCATTCATGGACGTCACGAAACTGCGCCATTTCTGACCTCTGTGGAACTCTCCCTCCCATTCTGGAGAATGCATTTCTTCCCTTCAAACAATAGAAGACAAAACATTTCATAAACGAATGTATACTAAATAATTTCGATATTAAAACATACGAAATTAAATCTCTTAATTTCTGGGTTGGTTTGTTTCTAGACTATCAGTGACAATTAGACATGCATATTGTATTTCTACTTCGAAAAAGGGATATATGATTGCTAATTGCACTCTCCAGAAATACCTAATACAAAGTATTTGTTATTTGTTTGCGCCTGTACAGTATTGTTCACTTGTGTGTATCAAATCGATGTATATGTTTGATCATGTTGTGAGATGGTATTATTTTTAATAAATTATTAGATATGGAACGCTTTGCTTTATTATCATAACTATCAATTATCCAATCATATACGTTTTATTAATTAAATACATTATAGCCTTCCATAGTTAGTCACATTAGTTGTCACAGAGAGAAAGATAATGAGATCAATTCAAGTCATACTGATAACTACTTACTGCAATACAAGGAATAGTTTATGCACTCAACCAGCGCTGCAAAGACAGCACATGAAGTCCAAATAATCTGAGGATTATTATGATAAAACGAATTATCAACAATATTTCGCATTCTTGTAGACAAGTAGTATGACACAGTTAACGAATTCCTTCTAATTATAAGCCCAACTATTGCTGTTGGACCAGTAAACTGGAAAGTCTCCCATTGGTTACTGTTAAAAGAAAAGTTACTGACACTACAAAAGTCAATGTAAATTCAGAAACAAGAACGTGGCAGATGCAGCAGTCTATTATTCCACATCGACACAACAATAGTCCAACTTCAAAATCTATATGGCAGGTCTGTAGAGAGAGCATCAGCCCAGGCCCAGGGCCCAGCACACACCCCACCTTAGACACACACACACGAGCTAAATTATGTCTAAATTATTAAAATATATTAAAATGCACATGTGACCAGATGTTGGAGCAGCCTTAAGCGCAGTAATTAGCAGGAGGCAGCAGGATCAGGTGCAAAATAGTGTCCAGATTATTATCAGTGAAAGGTGGTTCCAGGTGAATGGAGAAATCCAATTAATATTTATATAATCTACAAAGGCATATTTAATAACAATAGTTCTGCAGGCCAACAAGCAGCAGCAAAACGTTTACTTATGGAGCCGTGCACCCGCCCGTGCTCCCATTACGCACGTACATGACAGACAAGGCATGGAGCTCCGAGACTTGCGAACTTCAAACACAGGATGCATTACAATAAGGAAATAAACATTTTTTTTCTCGTCAGTGTAGCAAGTGTTCATGTGCACCTGAACATCGCATCCACTTGGAGGATTGCAAAAGGATACATTACTGCATTTAAATATGAAACTTAAATGCGCCACAATGCAACTTGACCAAAGATTTCCTCGACACATAAGTAACCTTGCTCACAGTAAATACTAATGACACTGGCAAAAAGAGGAAAAGAACAACATATATATTTAGGATAAATTAATTACTTGATATATGGGGAAACATGAACGAACTAAAGAATTTATAAGGGGAATTCAATAAAATGCGTTTCTGACAAGAGCTACTGAGTCAGCGTCATCACAGCACACATTAACTAAGTGGACAGGGGGAACACTTGACATGCACTAATTTGAAATATGTAGTAGGCTGTTATAAGATATTATATAAGCCAATGGTAATCTAAAAGGCATTTATTCAGTGATTTTCTTCTTTGTCTAATATATGTGTTTTTTCATTCACAACTAGGATGGGTAACACTTTATGTTAAGGTCCGTAATAAACAATTTATAAGGCATTAGTAAAGTATTTTTGCAGTCCTTAATCTAAGGTGAGTGCTATTTATACTTTATGAATACTTTATAAATGTTTTGACTTACCAGTGTCATTTCTCACAAAAATATGGGCATGCCATTGGTAGACATTCCTGCAGTACCTGGTAAAAGAACAAGCACACAACACATGATGTTTAAGGAAGTATACAGTGCCTTCGGAAAGTATTCAGACCCCTTGACTTTTTCCAAATTTTGTTACATTACAGCCTTATTCTAAAATGGATTAAATAAATAAAATCCTCAGCAATCTACACACAATACCCCATAATGACAAAGTGAAAACAGGTTTTTAGAAATTGTAGCACATTTAGTAAAAACAAAAAACAGAAATACCTTATTTACATAAGTATTCAGACCCTTTGCTATAAGACTCGAAATTGAGCTCAGGTGCATCCTGTTTTCCATTGATCATCCTTGATGTTTCTACAACTTCATTGGAGTTCACCTGTGGTAAATTCAATTGATTGGACATGATTTGGAAAGGCACACACCTGTCTATATAAGGTCCCACAGTTGACAGTGCATGTCAGAGCAAAAACCAAGCCATGAGTTCGAAGGAATTGTCCGTAGAGCTCCGAGACAGGATTGTGTCGAGGCACAGATCTGGGGAAGGGTACCAAAACATTTCTGCAGCATTGAAGGTCACCAAGAACACAGTGGCCTCCATCATTCTTAAATGGAAGAAGTTTGGAACCACCAAGACTCTTCCTAGAGCTGGCCGCTCAGCCAAACTGAGCAATCGGGGAGAAGGGCCTTGGTCAGGGAAGTGACCAAGAACCTGATGGTCACTCTGACAGAGCTCTAGAGTTCCTCTGTGGAGATGGGAGAACCTTCCAGAAGGACAACCATCTCTGCAGCACTCCACCAATCAGGCCTTTATGGCCAGACGGAAGCCACTCCTCAGTAAAAGGCACATGATAGCCCGCTTGGAGTTTGCCAAAAGGCACCTAAAGACTCTCAGACCATGAGAAACAAGATTCTCTGGTCTGATGAAACCAAGATTGAACTCTTTGGCCTGAATGCCAAGCATCACTTCTGGAGGAAACCTGGCACCATCCCTGCGGTGAAGCATGGTGGTGTCAGCATCATGCTGTGGGGATGTTTTTCAGTGGCAGGGACTGGGAGACTAGTCAGGATCAAGGCAAAGATGAATGGAGCAAAGTACAGAGAGATCCTTGATGAAAACCTGCTACAGAGCCCACAGGACCTCAGACTGGGGCGAAGGTTCATCTTCCAACAGGACAACGACCCTAAGCACACAGCCAAGACAACACAGGAGTGGCTTTGGGACAAGTCTCTGAATGTCCTTGAGTGGCCCAGCCAGAGCCCGGACTTGAACCCAATCTAACATCTCTGGAGAGACCTGAAAATAGCTGTGCAGCAACGTTCCCATCCAACCTGACAGAGCTTGAGAGGATCTGCAGAGGAATGGGAGAAACTCCCCGAATACAGGTGTGCCAAGCTTGTAGCGTCATACCCAGGAAGACTCGAGGCTGTAATCGCTGCCAAAGGTGCTTCAACAAAGTACTGAGTAAAGTGTCAGAATACTTTTGTAAATGGGATATTTCAGTTTTTTATTTTGAATAAATTAGCAAACATTTAAAAAAACCTGTTTTTGCTTTGTCATTATGGGGTATTGTGTGTAGATTGATGAGGGGAAAAAAACAATTAAATTAATTTTAGAATAAGGCTGTAACGTAACAAAATGTGGAAAAAGTCAAGGGGTCTGAATACTTTCCGAAGGCACTGTGTACATGTGTGAATAACTAGCTTACTAACATTTACAAATGTGCGAGTAATGATTAATAAATGTTGAGCAAACGGTTTGTAAATGCCTTATAAATAGTTTATTATGGACTCTTAAAATAAAGTGTTACCGCACAGACAGAAAGAGAGAGACACACACTGACACATGTACTGCCAGTTTATTGATATATTATATATGTAACAGTAATTAACCCTTAGGATAGGGGGGAACATGTATGACAGCCAGGCACTTATATTTTCAATATAAGTAGTTAGGCTTTCATAAGGTATTATGAGCCAATGGTCATCTATTTGGCATTTATTCAGTAACCTTTATTTTGTATCTAATACATGTGTTTATTCATTCACAACTAGGATGTTTCTGGGCCTAGCACAGGTAGTATGGTCCCCTGGTCTTCTGGTACCAGTGCTGTGGGAAAGGATGCTAGGGTTAGCAGAGACAGCTCAAGAGGTGAGTGCAGTGGAGGTAGGAAGAAAACAAAGAGACACAGATGCTCTGCCAGTTCCTTAATATGTTGCCTCTATACTGTATGTAATAGCAATGAACACTTAGGAGTGACAGACAGACAGACAACAGAGGAGTACAAGGAGAAGCAAAAACAGAGACAGAGTGACAGCAGAGAAGATGCAGAGACAGACTGCACAACAGGGAGGCAACAGAGACACAGTTATAGTGGTGAGTTGTAGTGGTGCTTTTACATGTTGTATTTGTCTTAAACATGAGCTGGTTAAAAAGAGCTGGTTAAAAAAGGAGGAATATGTTTCACCGGTCACTGGTACAGTAAAAGTTGAGAAACGCTGTACTATAGTTGCATATGTTATTTACATTTTCATTTACATTTTCGTCATTTAGCAGACGCTCTTATCCAGATGTTATGTGTCAGTAGCGTTTCTGCATGTGTGTACGCATGCAGTGTTGTGGGCTGGTGTGGCTGAAATGCCAGGGCTGAATTTTTGTCCCAGTACACCCCTGGGTATATCTCATTAAACTCACTTTTATGCATATGGGTTACCTAAAACCCATATAGGCCTGTGACATATATTTGGTCATTGAATCATTGTGGTTTACTGAGAACTTAATCATGAATATCGCCAACTTTAGTAACATTAAACAAGGCACAAGGCCTGTCCTCAATGCTAGACAGCGGCCAGCTGTTGGCAAAGCCTGTGTTAAGCGTATGACTTCCAGTAGGCCTACTCCAAGTCAACAATCTCTTACAATATGTGAGCCAATTTATGAACGTGTGTTTCTAAAGAAAGGATTTCACTGACTATGCCTATGTCATGGGTATGCCCCATTATCTAGGAAGACAACGCTTTAAAAGGAGTCATTTCCGACAGCTACTGTTATCACAATCAGGTGTTGGCATGCAACTCCAATTCCTCGCATAACTGTGCGTGTCAGACTAGATATAAAAGACCATGCGGTAGGTGTGTAGAAACAACGACAACTGCGAGGAAAATAAATAAGCTTTACACACCACTTCACCTTCACTGAAGAAGAAAGAGAATAATGCAGCTCTCCAACATTCCTCTTTTTGGCCTTCTCCTGTTCTTAAATCTGCCGCTGCTCAGCGCATATCCTGTCTACAATGAGTTACTGACCAATGATGACATGGATGTCTTAAAGGTAAGTCCTTTTTAGGCTATAGGCCTACAGGCTCATATACACCTTTGAGGGATATATTTCTTATACGTTGAAGCCCAAGGATAGATACAATTGAAACCGTTTGTTCAAACTTGCTTTTGGCATTGTAGGTACTTCTCCATCGACTTGAAGAGTCCATTCCTGAGCGGAGCGAGGTCGATCGGGTCGCCACAGAAAAGTTGGACAACATGACTCTCGAAGACATCGCAATGGTTGCAGCAGATGAGAGAGAGCAACAACAAACACGACTCGACAAATCCGCAATAAGAGAGTTCCTCTCGGCTCGTGACCTGAAAACTGTCCGAAACGACTCAACATCGAAGAGATCCTCAGGCTGCTTCGGGCGAAGGATAGACCGAATCGGCTCAATGAGCTCTCTTGGATGCAACATGGTTGGCAAATACAGTGGGTATAGTTAAGGTTAAGATCATAGGATACTGTGCATCAGACAAAATCTCTTAACCAAATAGAGTCCAAGTTGTCCACTCCGAAACTGCGTGGCTAAGTTGACAATATCCATTGTGAGAGCTATGTTAAGAGACAAAATTGTGTTGGCTAATTTCTTGTTTTCTCTATTTTCAGATCCAAAGAGAAGATGAAGTCTTACACATTACCTGGAACAGCAAAGTCATTACTTACCAAAGTGTATTCTTATTTATAGTCTGTAGGCTACCTATTTATTTTATATTCATTACATTTAGATTATTGGCAATATATTTATTTGAACCGGTGTCATTGGTGTACAATAAATGTTTACAATTGCGCATAAAATGTTTTATCTGGTTACTTTCTATACCATCCATTAGAAAAAAAATGTATTCAAAATTACAGAATGCCTAAGTCATAGGCTCAGACTGAATAATCAATGAGGAAAATAATGAGTTGTGAAGTTTCCCTAAACCACCTTGGGATCCTATTCATAGGCCTATCATAAGCCAAATTGAGCCCAGATGCTTATCAGTTGGGATGACCTGACCATACCCTACTAACTCACAAGAGACCTAGCAGGGTGACCCTCACAGAACAATCAAACCCCACAGAACAATACATTACTAGAGAAGCAAATAAAAACTACTTGGTGCTAAGTAAAATCACAAGGAATAAACCTCAAATTCGAGGTTTGCTTCAACACCGTCTTCGGCACTGCTATTGTTATTTCAGCACCATGGAAAGAGAACGCTCGGGATATAGGCTTTGGCTACCCCTCTGACTCGTCCAAACCTATTTTGGACGTGTAACTTTATACTTTGGTTCAATGGTTCCATGATTTCACAACGTTGACAAACCCATGACTCTGGCCAGACATGGATAGGACATGAGATATGGAGTCTGATATGGAGCACCCAAGTCTCATCCATATATCAGTGAATGCCCAACAACAGTCCCATTAGCAGATAATTCACATGCTTTACCATAATACTGATAGGAGGGCCTGGTAACTATTGCCACAACATGACTTATTCACAAGTAGACTATTTATTATTGACGACTCATAAATACCACCACTCAAGATGAATCAAGTCAAACATGGCCTCTCATAGGTCTCTCTCTCTTTTGGGCCATGCAAGATGATTAGGAAACTCCAAGAGAAAACACTATAAAGGGGGTCCACACACTCAAAGGAAGATATTCTACTTCTTTTAAGGATGCTTTAACCATTCTAAACTAGGCCAACGTCAGTGTTTGTTCAGTTAAAGGTTTGGATTGTACACCATATAGACAGAGCTAAAGGTTATTGAATGTTCAATGAGGTACCTACAGGCTTTCTAGGACTATACCTAACACCGTACTTATTTGTGTATTTTTGCCTTGTCATTATGTCTTGTGATGTCTCTATGTATGTTATGTTTGCCAAGTAAGCCAGTATGATGCAATCAACATTCCCTAAAACAGTATTCTATTCTAACCTGGAGAAAAGTTTCATGAATAAACCCCCACTATATATAGACTAGCAGAGCATGCTTTTAACCCACTATGGTATATTTAGGGTTTGGAGCGAGAGCAATGCCAAGTATTTGTGTAGCGGATGCATTCCCGGCAAAGCACAGCTATGTCTGAGCGCAGGCCCCTAAGACTGATCCTGAGCCCTACCATGAGTATCCTCACACACACACATCAGTCACCAGCCAGCCGCCACTTAAAAGGACATTTTACCAGCAGCCTTATCAGACAGAGGTGTCAGAATGCACTTCAGACAATCCACAAAATGATGAGCCACTGACACCAGATCGTCTCCTCTGTGGGTGTGTATGTTTATTTCTAAGTGCCTATATAAGAGAGTGCCTGGCTAACAACCTGCCTTAGCACTAACAAACCACAGCCTAAATGGAATCAGGCATGCCTCATGGGGACTTCTGGTCTTGCTTTGTCAGCAGACGTTGATGGCAGCCCATGTGTTGGACAGACCCTACCAGGGATGTAGCTCAGTTGGTAGAGCATGGCGTTTGCAACGCCACGGTTGTGGGTTCGATTCCCACGGGGGGCCAGTATGAAAAATAAAATATAAAATAATGTATGCACTCACTAACTGTAAGTCGCTCTGGATAAGAGCGTCTGCTAAATGCCTAAAATGTAAATACCCTGTCACACCCTGGCTCTGGGGACTCTATATGTTGAGCCAGGGTGTGTAGATTCTATGTGTTATAGTTCTATGTGTTATATTTCTATGTTGGCCAGATTGGTTCCCAATCAGAGGCAACGAGTGTCAGCTGTTGCTGGTTGTCTCTGATTGGGAACCATATTTAAACAGTCTGTTTTCCCTTAGTGTTGGTGGGATCTTGTTTCCGTTTGGTTTGTTTCCGTGTTGGTTGTGTAAACCGTAGGACTGCACGTTTCGTTTGTTGCTTTGTTGTTATATTATCACTAAAGATAATAAAGTTCAAGTATGTTTGCAACTAACGCTGCGCATTGGTCTACTCCGTCTAACGATCGTGACATACCCTGCTAGTAATTTGGCCCAATTGAAGATAGGTAGCTACTAGTCCAGTCAGTTGCTGTAGGTAGGGCTCACTGATTATTTGTCCCTGGTAGAATTGATAATAAAGTTGTGTTGAATTGGATTGATGGATGGTTGTTGGCCTGGCAACGTTTGTGATCTAATAACAGCTAGTCAAAGAGAAAATGTCTGACCTAATATGCGCTCTTCAAAACCATATTTTGTGTACATTATCTAGAGTTTTATTGGAATGAAGTTTTCTTGTATTTGAAGGTAAATACATTTTGAATCGCCTTCATGTCAATGGCTTCAGGAACTTGTTTGTCTGTGATAGATGACCATAACAGTGCCCAGGATACTGCAACTAAATAAAGTCGTGAAATATTGTGACGTCCATGTCAATTCCCTGTTCTACCGAATCTACTGGAGCGATTTTAGGAGACCTTGGCTGCGGTGGCCATAGCAGAGGATCCTGCAGTGGACTACGAGGGCCCCAACCCAGAGCCCGAACACAGTCAGGCTAGCCCATGGTGGGATGTGGCCCCAGAGGACCCAGAGAGGCATCTGCTCTCAGACGTCCGGGAGCCAGCTGCAGAAGAGAGCTACAGCAGGGCCTGGAGTTAGAGAAGCCGACTGCAGGACCTGCTCATGGCCACCAGGAGTAAAGCTGTGTCCGGGTGCTTTGGAGTCAGGATGGACTGCATCGGGACACCGAGCTGCCTAGGCTGCAGTCCTAAAAGAGGTAGCTAGTACAGTCAGTTGATGTATATTCAGTACACAGAAAAACATATGTACTTGTTTTAACTTCAAAAGAAGAGTTACCCCCTTAAGTTATGTCAACTTAGTTGCATTATAAGATAAATGTTGATACAACTTAACAGTTGAAGTCAATGTAACTCTTTTTAAGTCGTGAACCACTCTTGTGATACTATTATGACACATGCTATTGTTATAGCAAGTAGAATAGAAAACATTTGTGGACTCAAGATTTTAGCATCAACTATCATCTATATCAGTGGTCCCAAACTATACTGAACAAAAATATAAACGCAACATGTAAAGTGTTGGTCCCATGTTTCATGAGCTGAAATAAAATATCCCAGAAATGTTCCATACGCACAAAAAGCTTATTTCGCTCCAATTTTGTGTACAAATTTGTTTACATCCCTGTTAGCGAGCATTTCTACTTTGCCACAAGAATCCATCCACCTGACAGGTGTGGCATATCAATAAGTAGATTAAACAGCATGATCATTACACAGGTGCACCTTGCTCTGGGGACAATAAAAGGCCACTCTAAAATGGGCAGTTTTGTCACACAACACAATGCCACAGATGTCTCAAGTTGAGGGAGCGTGCAACTGGCATGCTGACTGCAGGAATGTCCACCAGAGCTGTTGTCAGATAATTGAATGTTAATTTCTCTACCATAAGCCGCCTCCAACTTCGTTTTAGAGAATTTGGCAGTACGTACAACCGGCCTAATAACCGCAGACCACGTGTAACCACGCCAGCACAGGACATCCACATCCGGCTTCTTCACCTGCAGGATCGTCTGAGACCAGCCACCCAGACAGCTGATGAAATTGAGGAGTATTTATGTCTGTAATAAAGCCCTTTTGAGGGGAAAAACTAATTCTGATTGGCTGGGCCTGGCTCCCCAGTGGGTGGGCCTGGCTGCCAAGTGGGTGGGCCTATGCTCTCCCATGCCCACCAATGGCAGCGCCCCTGCCCAGTCATGTGAAATCCATAGATTAGGGCCTAAGGAATGTATTTCAATTGACTGATTTCCTTATATGAACTGTAACTCAGTAAAATCTTTAAAATTGTTGCATGTTGCGTTTACATTCAGCCATGGGCTGATTTTTTCTTGGGCAGATGGTTGGGGGCCAGGACATAATTATAAATAATTTGTACACTGAACATTTACAGCAAGAAGCTCAAACAGATATAGTATTTGACAAAAACATAATTTCAAACCTTGATTACATTCAGATACGATAACATATGTCTCTGTATTTATGCGTGGGAATACTTAAATCACTTTGTGCTGATTTCCTGGTGATTACAGTCTTTTTTGTCCAACAATGAAAATTAAAAGAAACTTTTAAAAAACTTGGAGGGCCAAATCAAATCGCCCGCAGGCCGCCTATTGAAGACCTCTGATCTATATCATATATGTCCAGAGAATAATTTACAGGAAGTATATTGACAACATTTGTCTACGTTCTTAAATTGTATTAAAGGTGCTACACATAGGATTCTTTTGAATTTTTGCATTGCAATTTCAGAAAATGTCCATAATATATCGAGTGCTAATAGTGGAATGATAGTGTTTCACAGTATTATTTACCCGGCAGTGTTGTGATTGGCTGTGATAATACCTATTGATTTCTCCCGTCAGACCGGCATCTGTTGTCAAAATGGGAAAGCTGTTCTGACTTTGTGGCTGGGTTATCTTGTGGAAATCGCTCTATCATTTCCTGGTTGCTAAACTTCTACACTGTTCGCTCAATTTCAGTTTATGTGAGAAAACAAGCACTGAATAGTGTAGGGAATCATTGTACCATCTAAATCGCTGTGAAATATATTTTCAATAAACAACAAATATCGTTTTTACAGCCGTTTTAAGCTGGTAGTCCACTAGCTTCAAACAACAGTTTTGGTCCACCAGCAGATGATGATATTTTATCTTATTTAAAATATATTTCACAGCGATTTAGATGTGTGCTTGTTTTCGCCCCTGTTCAGTCATGTGAAATCCATAGATTAGGGCCTAAGGAATTGATTTTAATTGACTGATTTCCTGATATGAACTGTAACTCAGTAAAATCGTTTAAATTTTTGCGTTTAGATTTTTGTTCTGTATATGAACTATTGAAGGCCACCATCTGTACTTAATTAACTTTGCTCCAAAATCTCTCAAGTCTCCAGACTTCGAAACCCTTAAAACTAGTAGCCCGGTAGTGTGGCTGCCTCCACACTTCCAGAGTATATCACCTAGCTCTTCTTCCCCATAGACTGCAAATGGCCATCATTACACATCCTAAAAACACCTTTCTGGGCAGTGGTGAAGTGAGCTAATAACATCCTAACACTCCTCCAAGGAGTCTGCAGTGCCTTCAGAGATGAGGTGCATCTCAATGAGCCCATGGCTGCTCTCATATCTTTGCTGGCCTTAAGCCACAGATTAAAGGAAAGCAATATGGTGAATGCCTACCACAACAAGGGTTTTGAAACACTGAGCCAAACTGAGCTACACCAAACAAAGCTCTACTGAGACGGCCTGGTCCAGCTCAGTTTGGTTGGGGTCGGCATGATTTTTATAATTTGTGTTCACAAGTAGGGTGTCTTGTGCCTAGTGACAACAGTACTGCTCACTCTATCCCTCCACTTCGACATGACAGCAGCAAGAGGACACAATGCTCAGACTACCAAGAAAAAACAGAAAATGACTCAACCCACTATTAGATTCGTTCTGCAATGGATCTTCCAAGGGAAAGGGGGAGGACTCAGGGCTTGTCAATGTACAACACATTCTGTAAAGCAGGAAATCTCTTTGCTCTCTAAAGTGGATGTCTGCTGTTCATGTTGCCTGGACATCATCACAACAAGGAACAAGGGCATGGCATTGTAGGACTACTCTAGTCTAGTGTATAAGCATGGTGCTGGTTGTCTGAAGGGCTGAATCTTGCCATGATGTTTACTGTGAATGTGAAATGTTATTATAACTCAATATTTTTTGAAGTACCTCTGCAGCAAAAATGGCAGGAACTAGCCATAAGCTCCTCAGAGAGGTAAACATAACTCTTTGATATCCTAAAAAAACTACCTTTGGTGACATAGGGGTCTTCCTATAGCCTAGAACGATCGTTAGATAATGAACTGAGGGGGCTACGGCATTGGACAACACCAGAAAATATAAAAAATCTGTATAACAGCCACTTTGATACATGAAGTCAAAAATAACCTCAACCTGAGATAAAATATGTGATTCATTCATAACTAATTCAACAATTCTACACACAATGTGGAGTGTGTCTGGTGGGAATGTATTCTGACAGGCAGCGTGAATGGGACGCCAGTGTTGGTTACGCTAAAGCGAAGCCCTGTCACTCCAGTCTCACACTCATGTCAAGTTGGGTTACTCTTTATGAATTAGACTCCGGTAGTCTGCTTCAGTGAAGGATCACCACAGATGGCAACGACCCATTGAGAGAAGGTGCTACATTTTCAGGAGGAGCAGCTGTTCCGTGCAGGAACTAATCAAACACAAATGATGTATCTGGCGACTTTTCTCCTTAACAGTGTCAGGATCACTTGTAAACCTTAAGTGGCACTGCAACTGACCCTTGTGGAACTCTGGTTAGACTCCTGGGCTTGTCAGTGACTGTTATCCCAGTGATAAGAACAGGTGCGACAGCCCATGGAATAACAACCCTGGGAAGATTTTTCCACTGTGGCGGAAGATTTGTCTGATTGGTAATTGGTAGTTTATAAGTGTGGGCTAGGTTCCCAGAGCCAGTCAAATGTGGAAAACTGGGACCAGGACCTCGTGCAATCCCTCTGTATCCGGCACATCAGAACACCTTACACAGCCAGCCTGACCATGCATGTCCTCATTTTATTACCAGGCAACAGGGAGTCTTGAGTAAGTCTGGACAACTCAAGCATTGGAAAGGTGAAGTTGTGCACTATGACAATATATCTATATATACACTGCTCAAAGAAATAAAGGGAACACTTAAACAACACAATGTAACTCCAAGTCAATCACACTTCTGTGAAATCAAACTGTCCACTTAGGAAGCAACACTGATTGACAATACATTTCACATTCTGTTGTGCAAATGGAATAGACAACAGGTGGATATTATAGGCAATTAGCAAGACACCCCCAATAAAGGAGTGGTTCTGCAGGTGGTGACCACAGACCACTTCTCAGTTCCTATGCTTCCTGGCTGATGTTTTGGTCACTTTAGAATGCTGGCGGTGCTTTCACTCTAGTGGTAGCATGAGACGGAGTCTACAACCCACACAAGTGGCTCAGGTAGTGCAGCTCATCCAGGATGGCACATCAATGCGAGCTGTGGCAAGAAGGTTTGCTGTGTCTGTCAGCGTAGTGTCCAGAGCATGGAGGCGCTACCAGGAGACAGGCCAGTACATCAGGAGACGTGGAGGAGGCCGTAGGAGGGCAACAACCCAGCAGCAGGACCGCTACCTCCGCCTTTGTGCAAGGAGGAGCAGGAGGAGCACTGCCAGAGCCCTGCAAAATGACCTCCAGCAGGCCACAAATGTGCATGTGTCTGCTCAAACGGTCAGAAACAGACTCCATGAGGGTGGTATGAGTGCCCGACGTCCACAGGTGGGGGTTGTGCTTACAGCCCAACACCGTGCAGGACGTTTGGCATTTGCCAGAGAACACCAAGATTGGCAAATTCGCCACTGGCGCCCTGTGCTCTTCACAGATGAAAGCAGGTTCACACTGAGCACATGTGACAGACGTGACAGAGTCTGGAGACGCCGTGGAGAACGTTCTGCTGCCTGCAACATCCTCCAGCATGACTGGTTTGGCGGTGGGTCAGTCATGGTGTGGGGTGGCATTTCTTTGGGGGGCCGCACAGCCCTCCATGTGCTCGCCAGAGGTAGCCTGACTGCCATTAGGTACTGAGATGAGATCTTCAGACCCCCTATGCTGGTGCGGTTGGCCCTGGGTTCCTCCTAATGCAAGACAATGCTAGACCTCATGTGGCTGGAGTGTGTCAGCAGTTCCTGCAAGAGGAAGGCATTGATGCTATGGACTGGCCCGCCCGTTCCCCAGACCTGAATCCAATTGAGCACATCTGGGACATCATGTCTCGCTCCATCCACCAACGCCACGTTGCACCACAGACTGTCCAGGAGTTTGCGGATGCTTTAGTCCAGGTCTGGGAGGAGATCCCTCAGGAGACCATCCGCCACCTCATCAGGAGCATGCCCAGGCGTTGTAGGGAGGTCATACAGGCACGTGGAGGCCACACACACTACTGAGCCTCATTTTGACTTGTTGTAAGGACATTACATCAAAGTTGGATCAGCCTGTAGTGTGGTTTTCCACTTTAATTTTGAGTGTGACTCCAAATCCAGACCTCCATGGGTTGATAAATTTGATTTCCATTGTTAATTTTTGTGTGATTTTGTTGTCAGCACATTCAACTATGTAAAGAAAAAAGTATTTAATAAGATTATATCATTCATTCAGATCTAGGATGCGTTATTTTAGTGTTCCCTTTATTTTTTTGAGCATTGTATATATAATATGCTATCATTGAACATAACACAACACTTTTGTAATATATCTTCTAAAACATTTTCAACAGTGATAATTATACAAAAATAAGATGGATACATTTGAATGATTTACAAAACAAAGGGACCTTTATTTTGAAGAGTAATGTCAAGGCACAAAACAGAGGTCTCTGCTTTATCTTTCCAAGGGACCTATGGTGTTTGCCTTGGGCTTGCTTTCCTACATTTGTCAAGCTTTCACAAACTTCTCAACAAGCTCAGAGCAATGCCTAAACCTCCACAGCAGATGTACTAAAAACAGGTGTGTCCATAATGTTATTTGGCAAATATACAGTCCCTCTGGTCCCGACACTAGCTAAGCGTAGTGCATTTACCATTTGTCATACAATCTCATCTGATGGCATGTCATCTGCAGAGACAACATTTAGTGTGGATATAAAGTAGCATGATATATAAAAACCAGAGGAGGCTGGTGGGAGGAGCGATAGGAGGACGGGCTCATTGTAAAGACTGGAATGGAATAAATAAGAATGGTATCCAACACATTAAATATATGGAAACCACGTTGACTCTGTTCCATTAATTCCATTCCAGCCATTACAATGAGCCCATCCTCCTATAGCTCCTCCCACCAGCCTCCTCTGATAAAAACATTGATTTAAAATAACAAGTGGGCTATGGCTAGGGTTGCAAAATTCCAGTAACTTACCCAAAATTCTCTGTTTTTCAGAAATCCTGGTTGGAAGATTCTTGGAATTACGCGGGAATAAACAGGAAATCCGGGAATCCTCCAACTATGATTTCTGGAAAACCAGGGAATTTTGGAAAAATGACCCTTACATTTTGAAACCCAAGCTATGGCGATGATACAAAGAATAATAACGTTTATTCCCAAAGTAAAATCGATCCATCTTGTTATAGACCAAATGTAATGCCATTTCATTTGATCCATTCATAGTACAATGTTCATTCCTTAAATAAAACATTTAGCAAAAAATATAACATAAATAAAACAAGGAATACTTAGTGTATAAATATGTGCCATCATGGTTTGTCATAATTTATTATCTTTACATCTATCCACACTATTTAGAAAAGCAAAGCTAACATATGGAATTGTATTAAGATGGTCATACCATGGATCATTTAGCTATTTCATTTGGAATTTTAGGACCCCTTTAGGTATAATTGTTTTTAAATATTTTTTATTTATTTTCATATAATATTGAATTTGGCCTTTACTACTATAGCCCATAGAAACTCATTGAATAACACGTTCATAAATGGCAAAAAATACAGTAAAAAATAAATACGGTTTTGAAGTGTCTGTCCTATATCTAGGATATAAGAAAGCTCCGAAAATATTTTTGTTGGCACAAAACTACCTCCATACTTCCATTCATTTGTATGAGTTACCTTCAGACGATTCCTGTGACACTTGTGGTTGGGTCGTAGAGCAAAACGGAGAACACCATTGTGTTCGTGAGAGTTTGTTGGCCAAACCATTCCGACGCTATAGACGTTTTCATGAGAATACCAATTTTCAGGATGTCTCATGGTCTGACAAACACAGCTGTAGCTCGGCCACCTTCGACCAGATGCGGAACGCCCGACATAGGCTGATGTGGTGGATTGTTACGCAGCCCATGCAAAAAACCTGATATCTCTAGCTTAACCTGACAGATTTTGATGGGGATTATTTTGTTATGTTACTTAGATTAGCGCACGGGTGCGCCAATAGACTCTTAAGGATTAATACTGACAAACAAACATCCACCCTTCTGTCTAGAAAATATGCTGAGCCTTCCTTGGCCCAGCATATTTAGTCAAAATAACACAAATTAAATGAATAAACCTTGGTCAATTCCATCCAGTCTTGACATACACCATCTTCCTCAGTCCTCTCAAACACTCTCATAACCTTGTTGCCTGAATATTTGTGAGAATAACTGTCTGCTGTTAAGCTTTATATACACAAGTGCAATTATGTATTTTTGTGTTAATGTAGCTCCAAACATATCCCTTGATTAGAAATGGTCCCTAATGTGACATCTTGATCTCTTGATAAGCCTACTTTGATCGAAGCCCTGGCGGGACAGTGAAATGGTTTTAGTGCAAATATATAGAATAGTACATTTAAATATACAGTAAACATAACAAAATTAAAACATACAGTCAGAAATCTAAACAAAAGTGCTACAGTGATAAAGATGCTAAATCGTCGGTCGGTTGATAAAGCATGGAAACTTGTTGGGACACGGGGTATGTCTTGGGGTGAAGGAAGGCTCCTCAGCAGACGAAAGTCACCAGCTTTCATTACAAGGGGTGTGTGCCTATTGTCTCATACAGAGAATGGATGCCATGCGGTTGTGTGTGTGTAATGGATAAGACATGGAAAAGCATGGTACAGGTCCAGTTGAAGGGAGGATTGTGTCTCAAGGACAGCAAGACGTGGGCGGCTCTTGTCGGCTTTAAAGACTGGATTCTGGAGCTCAAATGGTGATGTAGTGCTGTCTGAGTTTCACCAAAAGGAACTTGTGGGTTAAATTGTGTCGTGTGATTATTCCCACAATCTGAAAGAGAAGGTTCAGAAAGCGACATCATGGAGCAAATTGCTTCCTCTACTCTAGACAGACTCTCAAAAATAATTAATTAGCTACAGTAGTTCATTAAGAAAGCAATTTCTCTGCTTAGTGCGTCTATGCAAAAGCAAATTTAGAGCACATTTTCACAGACCAAATAAGTGGCTTTAGTCACTTGAATCTGCATTTATGTCTGAGAGAATGTTGATAATTCATACCGGTTTAGATTTGAACAATATAGACATTTAATACATACTGCGTCACATACTTGAAATTAGTTTATGGTGTGTCTTGTCTTTATGATGGGTTGTATTCATTAGGCACCAAACAGAAGGAAACAGACTTAAACAAGGAGGGACTAATTGAACTTGTCCAACAAGAAACACTCCTTTCTCTTTTCCATTGCAAAACGTTTGGCTACAGTGTTCACTGATGAATACAACCCTGTCCACAGAGAGGAAACAGCAAGTTGAGGAATGGGTCTTAGAGGAATGGGTCTTAATTACCATTTGCAGTAACACTCACCTCTCCTACAGCGTTGACCACAGGCAGGTGTCGGAGGCCCATGGTCCTGAACAGGTTAAAAACTTGGGACACATGCGTGTTTGGGGACACTGTGTAGGGGCACGGGTTCATGTATGGGGTGACGTCCTGAAAGGGAAAGATGATCACTTGTTAAAAATAAATGTCAATTTTATGTTTGAAGTAAATTGTCCCTTTTACGCATTTTCCATTGTATTGACTCCATAAAGAGTTGTCACACATCCATAATGATTGACTAGGTCATACCACTATAATGTGGGGGTGTAAGTGCAGTGTTAGCTGTAGATGTAATATTTAGTATTTTATTAGGATCCCCGTTAGCTGTTGCCAAGGCAGCAGCTACTCTTCCTGGGGTCCAAAAAGAGATAAAACATAACATCATTCAAAACATTATGCATAATATAAATTTACAATGCTCCATTATTACATTACAATATTACAATACTACATTACATTACAAAGAATAGTGTGTGGGTGTGTGTGAATTTCTGTCTCTTCACAGTCCGTGTTGTGCCGGGAGGTGTTTCATCTGTTTTTTAAATCTGATTTTACTGCTAGCTTGAGTTACAGTGCCTTCGGAAAGTATTCAGACCCCTTACAGCCTTATACTAAAATTGATTAAATCGTTTTTCCCCCTCATCAATCTACACACAATACCCCATAATGACAAAGCTAAAATTGATTTTTAGAATTTTTTGCTAACTGAAATATAATATTTACATATTGACCCTTTACTCAGTACTTTGTTGAACAACCTTTGGCAGCGATTACAGCCTCAAGTCTTCTTGGGTATGACGCTACAAACTTGGCACACCTGTATTTGGGGAGTTTCTCCCATTCTTCTCTGCAGATCCTCTCAAGCTCTGTCAGGTTGGATGGGGAGCGTTGCTGCACAACTATTTTCAGGTCTCTCCAGAGATGTTTGATAGGGTTAAAGTCTGGGCTCTGGCTGGGCCACTCAAGGACATTCAGAGAATTGTCCCGAAGCCACTCCTGCGTTGTCTTGGCTGTGTGCTTAGGGTCGTTGTCCTGTTGGAAGGTGAACCTTCGCCCCATTCTGAGGTCCTGAGTGCCTGGAGCAGGTTTTCATCAAGGATCTCTCTGTACTTAGCTCCCTTCATCTTTGCCTTGATCCTGACTAATCTCCCTGTCCCTGCCGCTGAAAAACATCCTCACAGCATAATGCTGCCACCACCAAGCTTCACTGTAGGGAAGGTGCCAGGTTTCCTCCAGATGTGACGATTGGCATTCAGGCCAAAGAGTTCTATCTTGGTTTCATCAGACCAGAGAATATTGTTTCAAATGGTCTGAGAATCATTAGGTGCCTTTTGGCAAACTCCAAGCGGGCAGTCATGTGCCTTTTACTGAGGAGTGGCTTCCGTCTGGCCACTCTACCATAAATGCCTAATTGGTGTAGTGCTGCAGAGATGGTTGTCCTTCTGGAAGGTTCTCCCATCTCCACAGAGGAACTCTAGAGCTTTGTCAGAGTGACCATCAGGTTCCTGGTCACCTCCCTGACCAAGGCCCTTCTCCCCTGATTGCTCAGTTTTGCCAGGCAGACAGCTCTAGGAAGAGGTGGTTCCAAACTTCTTCAATTTAAGAATGATGGAGGCCACTGTGTTCTTGGGGACCTTCAATGTTGCAGAAATGTTTTGGTACCCTTCCCCAGATCTGTGTCTCGACACAATCCTGTCTCGGAGGTCTACGGACAATTCCTTCGTCCTCATGGCTTGGTTTTTGCTCTGACATGCACTGTCAACTGTGGGACCTTATACAGTAGGGAAAAAAAGTATTTAGTCAGCCACCAATTGTGCAAGTTCTCCCACTTAAAAAGATGAGAGAGGCCTGTAATTTTCATCATAGGTACACGTCAACTATGACAGACAGAATGAGAAAAATAAATCCAGAAAATCACATTGTAGGATTTTTTATGAATTTATTTGCAAATTATGGTGGAAAATAAGTATTTGGTCACCTACAAACAAGCAAGATTTCTGGCTCTCACAGACCTGCAACTTCTTCTTTAAGAGGCTCCTCTGTCCTCCACTCGTTACCTGTATTAATGGCACCTGTTTGAACTTGTTATCAGTATAAAAGACACCTGTCCACAACCTCAAACAGTCACACTCCAAACTCCACTATGGCCAAGACCAAAGAGCTGTCAAAGGACACCAGAAACAAAATTGTAGACCTGCACCAGGCTGGGAAGACTGAATCTGCAATAGGTAAGCAGCTTGGTTTGAAGAAATCAACTGTGGGAGCAATTATTAGGAAATGGAAGACATACAAGACCACTGATAATCTCCCTCGATCTGGGGCTCCATGCAAGATCTCACCCCGTGGGGTCAAAATGATCACAAGAATGGTGAGCAAAAATCCCAGAACCACACGGGGGGACCTAGTGAATGACCTGCAGAGAGCTGGGACCAAAGTAACAAAGCCTACCATCAGTAGCACACTACGCCGCCAGGGACTCAAATCCTGCAGTGCCAGACGTGTCCCCCTGCTTAAGCCAGTACATGTCCAGGCCCGTCTGAAGTTTGCTAGAGTGCATTTGGACGATCCAGAAGAGGATTGGGAGAATGTCATATGGTCAGATGAAACCAAAATATAACTTTTGGGTAAAAACTCAACTCGTCGTGTTTGGAGGACAAGGAATGCTGAGTTGCATCCAAAGAACACCATACCTACTGTGAAGCATGGGGTGGAAACATCATGCTTTGGGGCTGTTTTTCTGCAAAGGGACCAGGACGACTGATCCGTGTAAAGGAAAGATGAATGGGGCCATGTATTGTGAGATTTTGAGTGAAAACCCTCCTTCCATCAGCAAGGGCATTGAAGATGAAACATGGCTGGGTCTTTCAGCATGACAATGATCCCAAACACACCGCCCGGGCAATGAAGGAGTGGCTTCGTAAGAAGCATTTCAAGGTCCTGGAGTGGCCTAGCCAGTCTCCAGATCTCAAACCCCATAGAATATCAATGGAGGAGTTTGAAAGTCCGTGTTGCCCAGTGACAGCGCCCAAAACATCACTGCTCTAGAGAGATCTTGCATGGAGGAATGGGCCAAAATACCAGCAACAGTGTGTGAAAACCTTGTGAAGACTTACAGAAAACATTTGACCTGTGTCATTGCCAACAAAGGGTATATAACAAAGTATTGAGAAACGTTGTTATTGACCAAATACTTATTTTCCACCATAATTTGCAAATAAATTCATTATAAATCCTACAATGTGATTTTCTGGAGAAAAAAAATTCTCATTTGGTCTGTCATAGTTGACGTGTACCTATGATGAAAATTACAGGCCTCTCTCATCTTTTTAAGTGGGAGAACTTGCACAATTGGTGGCTGACTAAATACTTTTTTCCCCCACTGTATAGACAGGTGTGTGCCTTTCCAAATCATGTCCAAGCAATTGAATTTACCACAGGTGGACTCCAATCAAGTTGTAGAAACATCTCAAGGATGATCAATGGAAACAGGATGCACCTGAGCTCAATTTCGAGTCTCATAGCAAAGGGTCTGAATACTTATGTAAATAAGGTATTTCTGTTTTTGTTTTTAATACATTTGCAACAATTTCTAAAAACCTGTTTTCGCTTTGTCATTATGGGATATTGTGTGTCGATTGCTGTGGAAATTGTTTCATTTAATAAATTTTAGAATAAGGCTGTAACGTAACAAAATGTGGAAAAAGTAAAGGGGTCCGAAGGTACTGTACCTGAGGTGGAAGAAAGTTCCATGTAGTCATGGCTCTATATAGTACCGTGCGTTTGCTAGCCTCTGTTCTGGGCTTGGGGACTGTGAAGACACCTCTGGTGGCATGTCTTGTGGGGTATGTATGAGTGTCTGAGCTGTGTGTTAACTGATTGAACAGATAGTTTGGTACTTTTAACACGTCAATATCTCTCACAAAGACCAGTAGTCAATCTCTCCTCTACTTTGAGCCACAAGAGATTCATATGCACCGAATCATAGGATTTGGTGCCCTGGACGGTTTTCACGGAAGAATACTGTACCAAGTTAGCTAGCTGAATAAACTAAGTTAGTCTATTCCTAGAAAACATTTAACCGCTGTAGTTTACAACAATTATAGTTTCTGAGGTGGAAGTTGGGAGAGTTACAGTGGGGAAAAAAAGTATTTAGTCAGCCACCAATTGTGCAAGTTCTCCCACTTAAAAAGATGAGAGAGGCCTGTAATTTTCATCATAGGTACACGTCAACTATGACAGACAAAATGAGAAAAAAAAATCCAGAAAATCACATTGTAGGATTTTTAATGAATTTATTTGCAAATTATGGTGGAAAATAAGTATTTGGTCAATAACAAAAGTTTCTCAATACTTTGTTATATACCCTTTGTTGGCAATGACACAGGTCAAACGTTTTCTGTAAGTCTTCACAAGGTTTTCACACACTGTTGCTGGTATTTTGGCCCATTCCTCCATGCAGATCTCCTCTAGAGCAGTGATGTTTTGGGGCTGTCGCTGGGCAACACGGACTTTCAACTCCCTCCAAAGATTTTCTATGGGGTTGAGATCTGGAGACTGGCTAGGCCACTCCAGGACAGAAAACGTTTGACCTGTGTCATTGCCAACAAAGGGTATATAACAAAGTATTGAGAAACGTTGTTATTGACCAAATACTTATTTTCCACCATAATTTGCAAATAAATTCATTATAAATCCTACAATGTGATTTTCTGGAGAAAAAAAATTCTCATTTGGTCTGTCATAGTTGACGTGTACCTATGATGAAAATTACAGGCCTCTCTCATCTTTTTAAGTAGGAGAACTTGCACAATTGGTGGCTGACTAAATACTTTTTTCCCCCACTGTATATTTGGGTGTTTCAGTGAAACGTAAGTGAGGGAGGCCCCGCTCTCTCGCTTTCCCAGATGTTTAGTTCATTTTATTCCGATCTCCTTTGCATTATTGTAGCCATTTTCTGTAGCCTGTCAACTATGCGTCTGTCTATCCCTGTTCTCTCCTCTCTGCACAGGCCATACAAACGCCTCACACCGCGTGGCTGCTGCCACTCTAACCTGGTGGTCCCTGCGCACACGACCCACTTGGAGTTCCAGGTATCCGGCAGCCTCTGGAACTGCCGTTCTGCGGCCAACAAGGCAGAGTTTATCTCAGCCTAAGCTACCCTCCAGTCCCTCGACTTCTTGGCGCTGACGGATACATGGATTACCACTGAAAACACTGCTACTCCTACTGCTCTCTCCTCGTCTGACAATGTGTTCTCGCATACCCCGAGAGCATCTGGTCAGCGGGGTGGTGGCACAGGAATCCTCATCTCTCCCAAGTGGACATTCTCTCTTTTTCCCCTGACCCATCTGTCTATCTCCTCATTTGAATTCCATGCTGTCACAGTCACTAGCCCATTCAAGCTTAACATCCTTATCATTTATCGCCCTCCAGGTTCCCTTGGAGAGTTCATCAATGAGCTTGACAAGTTCCTTTCCTGAGGATGGCTCACCCCTCACAGTTCTGGGTGACTTTAACCTCCCTATGTCTACCTTTGACGCATTTCTCTCTGCCTCCTTCTTTCCACTCCTCTCCTCTTTTGACCTCACCCTCTCACCGTCCCCCCCTACTCACAAGGCAGGCAATACGCTTGACCTCATCTTTACTAGATGCTGTTCTTCTACTAATCTCACTGCAACTCCCCTCCATGTCTCCGACCACTACTTTGTATCATTTTCTCTCTCACTCTCCTCCAACACTACTCACTCTGCCCCTACTCAGATGGTAATGCGCCGTCGCAACCTTCGCTCTCTCTCTCCCGCTACTCTCTCCTCTTCCATCCTATCATCTCTTCCCTCTGCTCAATCCTTCTCCCTCCAATCTCCTGATTCTGCCTCCTCAACCCTCCTCTCCTCCCTTTCTGCATCCTTTGACTCTCTATGTCCCCTATCCTCCCGGCCGGCTCAGTCCTCCCCTCCTGCTCCGTGGCTTGACGACTCATTGTGAGCTCACAGAACAGGGCTCCGGGCAGCCGAGCGGAAATGGAGGAAAACTAGACTCCCTGCGGACAAGGCATCTTTTCACTCCCTCCTCTCTACATTTTCTTCCTCTGTTTCTGCTGCTAATGCCACTTTCTACCACTCAAAATTCCAAGCATCTGCCTCTAACCCTAGGAAGCTCTTTGCCAACTTCTCCTCCCTGCTCTCTGTGGATGACTTCGTCAACCATTTTGAAAAGACGATATCCGATCCTCGTTTGTTAAGTCAAATGACACTGCTGATCCTGCTCACACTGCCCTACCCTATGCTTTGACTTCTTTCTCCCCTCTCTCTCCAGATGAAATCTTGCGACTTGTGACGGCCGGCCGCCCAACAACCTGCCCGCTTGACCCTATCCCCTCCTCTCTTCTCCAGACCATTTCCGGAGACCTTCTCCCTTACCTCACCTCGCTCATCAACTCATCCTTGACCGCTGGCTATGTCCCTTCCGTCTTTAAGAGAGCGAGAGTTGCACCCCTTCTCAAAAAACCTACACTCGATCCCTCCGATGTCAACAACTGCAGACCAGTATCCCTTCTTTATTTTCTCTCCAAAACTCTTGAGCGTGCCATCTTTAGCCAACTCTCTTGCTATCTCTCTCAGAATGACCTTCTTGATCCAAACCAGTCAGGTTTCAAGACTGGTCATTCAACTGAGACTGCTCTTCTCTGTGTCACGGAGGCTCTCCGCACTGCTAAAGCTAACTCTCTCTCCTCTGCTCTTGTCCTTCTAGACCTGTCTGCTGCCTTTGATACTGTGAACCTTCAGATCCTCCTCTCCACCCTCTCCGAGTTGGGCATCTCCGGCGCGGCTCACTCTCGGATTGCGTCCTACCTGACAGGTCGCTCCTACCAAGTGGCGTGGCGAGAATCTGTCTCCGCACCACATGCTCTCACCACTGGTGTCCCCCAGGGCTCAGTTCTAGGCCCTCTCCTATTCTCGCTATACACCAAGTCACTTGGCTCTGTCATATCCTCACATGGCCTCTCCTATCATTGCTACGCAGACGACACACAACTAATCTTCTCCTTTCCCCCTTCTGATAACCAGGTGGCGAATCGCATCTCTACATGTCTGGCAGACATATCAGTTTGGATGACGGATCACCACCTCAAGCTGAACCTCGGCAAGACAGAGCTGCTCTTCCTCCCAGGGAAGGACTGCCCGTTCCATGATCTCGCCATCACGATTGACAACTCCGTTGTGTCCTCCTCCCAGAGTGCGAAAAGCCTTGGCGTGAACCTGGACAACACCCTGTCGTTCTCCGCTAACATCAAGGCGGTGACCCGATCCTGTAGGTTCCTGCTCTACAACATTCGGAGAGTACGACCCTGCCTTACACAGGAAGCGGCACAGGTCCTAATCCAGGCACTTGTCATCTCCCGTCTGGATTACTGCAACTCGCCGTTGGCTGGGCTCCCTGCCTGTGCCATTAAACCCCTACAACCAGAATGCCGCACCCCGTCTGGTGTTCAACCTTCCCAAGTTCTCTCACGTCACCCCGCTCCTCCGCACACTCCACTGGCTTCCAGTTGAAGCTCGCATCTGCTACAAGACCATGGTGCTTGCCTACGGAGCTGTAAGGGGAACGGCACCTCCGTACCTTCAGGCTCTGATCAGTCCCTACACCCAAACGAGGGCATTGTGTTCATCCACCTCTGGCCTGCTGGCCCCCCTACCTCTGCGGAAGCACAGTTCCTGCTCAGCCCAGTCAAAACGGTTCGCTGCTCTGGCACCCCAATGGTGGAACAAGCTCCCTCACGACGCCAGGACGGCGGAGTCACTCACCACCTTCTGGAGACACTTGAAATTCCACCTCTTTAAGGAATACCTGGGATAGGATAAAGTAATCCGTCTACCCCCCCCCAAAAAAAAAAAACATATTGTAAAGTGGTTATCCCACTGGCTATAAGGTGAATGCACCAATTTGTAAGTCGCTCTGGATAAGAGCGTCTGCTAAATGACGTAAATGTAAATGTAAATATGCATGTTGTTGATATTAGCCTTATGTGTACATTTAAGGGCCAGATGTGCTGCTATCTTCTGGGCCAACTGTAATTAGCCTATGTCACTCTTTGCCTTGACCATATAACTGGGCAGTAGTCCAGGTATGATAAAACTAGGGCCTGTAGGACTTGTTTGGTTGATTGTGATGTTAAGAAAGCAGCGCTTTATCACAGACAGACCTCTCCCCATTTTAGCAACCGTTGAATCAATATGTCCGTTTACAATTTAGGGTTACACCAAGCAGTTTAGTCTCCTCAATTTTCTCAATCGCCACATTATTCACTACTAGATTTAGATGAGGTTCAGGGTTTAACAAATGATTTGTCCCAAATACAATGCTGTTAGTTTTCGATATATTTAGGACTAGCTTATTACTAGCCACCCATTCTAAAAATGACTGCAGCTCTTTGTTAAGGGTTGCAGTGATTTACTTGCCGTGGTAGCTGACGTGTATAATGTTGAGTCATCGGAGTACATAGACACATAGGCTTTATTCAATGCTAGTAGTAGGTCATTAGTAAAAAAGGAGAACAGTAGAGGGCTAAGACAGCTGCCTTGAGGAACACCACACTCTACCTGGTTTACGTTAGAGAGGCTTCCATTAAAGAAAACCCTCTGTGTTCTATTAGATAGGTAGCTCTCAATCCACGATATGGCAGATAACACATGGTTTTTCAGCAACAGATTATGATTGATAATATCAGAAACTCCACTGAAGTCTAACAATACAGCTCCTGTGTGATGGACGGGGTTGCACCACTATCATGTGGGGGTGTGGGTGCAGTAGTAGCTATAGATGTGTGATGGACTGGGTCGTACCACTATCATGCGGGGGTTGAGGAGGGCCAGGTCCAAGTCGTGGATGTCTGGGAAACGGGGGTAGTCCTCCGTCATCTCAGCGTATGACAGTCTGGGCTGCGTGGCACTCTATGTGGATGCACAGACATACAGTCAAAGAGAAAAATGCACAAATACAGACACACACAGACACTCCCACACTTCCTCTCTCCCCTAGACACACTGACTAACTCCTGGGTCATATTCATTAGTGCATAGCACACAGTAGCAAAACGTAGCAAAACGCTTTGCAACGGAGAACAAAAACAAGTTTCTTCCATTTGGTGCCTAATGAATACTAGGGCTGGGAATTGCCAGGGACCTCCCAATATGATTTATCACGATACTTAGGTGCCGATACTATATGTAACACTATTTTATATATTGCGAATCGATACTCTGATTTTATTATGATTCGATGTTCAAGAGGAACAAGAGAGCCATGAGAAAACAAGTTTTGAGCAGTCATTGAAATAAAAGTGCTGAAAACATGTTGGCTCACCATATAAAAAGATTAAAATCAAGATAAGATTAAGATAATCTCGTAATAATCTATTGTATAAATGTTTTCACCCATCACTAACGAATATGACTCTTTTGAGGAGTGGGTTGGGTTGGGACACTAACCAACTGGTTCTCTGCGTAGCAGACGCCACGGATGAGCAGGTTGACCAGCTGGGACCGCAGGATGATGCCGTGGAAAGTCAGAGGTCGGAAGCGCTCTTCCATGGTCCACTCCTCGCTAGGGGACTGGTCTGGATACAGGTTAGGGTAGGGCACGTGTCTGGAAAGATACACACAGACACAAACGTCAGCACAACATTTTCTCCAAATAAAAACACCAGACTGACTCATCACAGTTAATGGGAAGTAACTATGTTTTACCTGCTTCTCCTTCTAAACATGCTTTCTAATTAAATAGAGGATGGGTCATTACCTGGTTTATGACTGCAGTAATGGGATAAAGACGTCAGTGCTAAGATATGGTTATGACTTCAGTGGTTAGAACATACCATAGTATCTGTTTGGACACATCACCTAGTAGTCAAGCATTGTGTGTATGCTAGGTAACTCTGCACTCTTCTCGGGAATGGGAAGGTATGGCCATCTTCGCATTTCTCACGGGAAACGAGGAAGATGTACCGATGTATACATTAAGACCTACATTAAGACCTAGAAGCCATATGTTTCCATATTGACCAAGCCATAAAGTAATCATATAAGGGTCATTCCACCAATTCTGTGCCTTTTAAGAAGTGTAACTTGAAAGAAATTATAATACTTGATTTCACCTAATTTTAACATTCTGTCATAAAGAGCACATGTTCAACTTCATAAAAAACACATTTCCCCATCTCAAGAGGTTCAATAAAAAAAGTAATATAGTAGTTTCAAGTTTCATTTATCACATGCACAAGTACAGTGAAATGCTTAACTTGCAAGCCCTTCCCAACAGTGCAGTATTGAATATCAAAATAGTATAACAAAAATAAAACAGAAGAAATAAGAGAGGAAGAAAAAAATAAAAAACGATGTGAGCTATATACAGGGTCAGTGCTAGTACCACATTTACAATGTGTAGGGATAATGGAGTGTTTGAGATAGTTATGTACATGTAGGCAGGGATTAGGAGAAAGTGACTGGTAGCAGGATAAATAATAATAATAGTAAACAGTATGGCAGCAGCATAAGTGGTGGGTGGGTGTGTATGTAAGTGGGTGTTGATTAACAGAAAATCGTTTTAGCAGAAGGGTAAGTGTGTGGCGTCAGTAATTAGTGTGTGGGTGAGGGTGTATGTGAGTGTGCGTATGTGAGTATGTGTGTGTACATGTGAATAAGAGTGACAGTGAAGGTGTGTTAGGGCTGTGGCGGTCATGATATTTTGTCAGCCGGTTATTGTCATGTAAAAGATGCCAGTCTCATGGTAGTTGACCGTTAAATAATATAAACACACGTTTAGCATCTCCAGGCCTCAAGGCGTACACGCTGCATACAAGCCGCTGATGTGCGCCTTCGTAACATCTACATTTAAAAAAGTATAATAAATCAATTTAATATACACCATAAAAAAAAAATCCATTGTTTATTTTAGTCAGATCTAAAGAAACATTATGATATGAAGAAAATGTATTTCCGAAGAACAGAATACGAGTTGGCCTACTGTATGTCAACTGGCTATGCCCCATGCCATAGGCTGTAGGCTTGTTCATTCAGCTGACAAGATATGCTTATAAGTCCAGTGCCATTATTTTATATTATATTATTTTAAAAGAATATAATTGCACTTAGCTGAATAAAATAGAAAGGATATTTTTCCCATTCCGGAGCGAGTGCGCATATGAAGGGACTATGTTGAGCTAAAACGGATCATTTGAAACAGGTCCTATATGCTAGATTTAGAGTTATTTGGCAACTTTAGTTGTGAATGATACAAACCTTAGAGTGTCTTAAAAATCAAAACATATAAGGGCTGCATGATGCGACTATAGGCTATTGATGATTTGAGAAAGTCGCAAAAAAAGCTTGCGCTCTGTTCCTTGCCTCAGCCTGCACAACTGTTCTCTCATCAAGTGATCATATTTTCACCCATCAGACTATTCTCAATTTAATCTCGTCTTTACTAATATGCTAAATGAGTTTCGATTTAGAATGGCCCATTATCAAATGGGCAGGAACAGGGGCATGAACTCAAATAGCGAATGGAGGCCGCGAGCTTTCTCGTCAGTCAGTTTTTCGATGATGCCTGGTAGGCTACTTCAGTTTTATAGCGGAGCTATGCTTAATATGAGCAGCTGAGAAATAAATATAAGAACACTTATTTCACGCCACGCATCAACCACTGTTTGAGGAACATGCTCTCGCTGCCTGACAGGTGATATTCCGCCCAAACTCTTTATGCCATGGGCTCTCTAACCTGTTCCTGCAGCTACCCAGTCCTTAATTTGGGAAACTAAGTGAAATCTGTTTGGGAACATTGCAGTAACATGTTTTCGCAAACAAAACATATTTCACTAAACTGTTGACAGCCCCTTTGCACGCTCAAGAAAGGAATAAAGGAGAGCGAGGAGGAGATGGAAACGCATGGTGGTGAGATATTCTGTATAGCTGAAGGTAATGTTCCACCCAATTAATTATGAAAATATTTTAAAAAATCCCAAAATATTTTTGGGGGGAGTATAGGCTAGACCAATTATGTACCAAAGACATCTTAAATCAGTTTTGTTTTATGTGTCCCTGCCATGTGTAATATGCGGTAGGCTATGTATTGTATAAGGCGCAATCATAATTCAGGTTTTTTTTCTGGCTTGGGCTCATAAGCCTATGCGTATGTATAAGCTCTAATATGCGTATGGGTGTATTGAATTAATCATCACCTTAGAAAGCGCTGTCCATTTAGTTGTGTTAGGCTTTGAAACAACATCACAACGACCATGTTTTGCACTCAGTTTCAACCTGCTGATGAACTTCTTTCTTCAAATTGATCACAGTAAGTTGAGTTTTAAAAGCAGGATTCTGTTTTGATGATAACTGTTTGATGTGATTTTTGATGGCATTTGCATTGATGTCAGAGTAGTTAGAGGGGCAATAGAGCCCTGAGTACCAGGCCATTAGGACCTGATGGTCATTAGCAAGTTAGGTACTACAAAAGCATGCCCAGAATGCATAAAAGGAGATTACCGTGACAGTCTTATGGCCAGGAGATAGAAGTTTTTAGGAGTCTGTTGGTCTGAGCCTTAATGCACTGGTACCACCTGCCGGAAGTGAGCATGAAGAACAGTCCGTGTCTGGGGTGGCTGGAGCCATAGGCAATTTTTCGGCCCTTTCTCAGACACCGCATTGCATGTGCATCCTGAATGGCTGGGAGCTCACCCCCAGTGATGCGCTGGGCCATCCGTACCACTCTCTGTAGGGCCTTTCGGTCGAAAGCGGTGCAGACGGTTATACAACCAGTCAGGATGCACTCGATGGTGCAGCTGTAAAAGTTCCTAAGGATCTGAGGGGCCATGCCAAATCGTTTCAGCCTCCTGAGGGTGTAGAGGCGCTGCCATGCCTTCTTCACGACTGTGCTGGTGCTAAATCCTCAGGGATGAGGACACCGAGAAACTTGGACCTCTTGACCCTCTCCACTGTGGACCCGTCAATGCGTATGACGCCTCCTGGAGACCATATTGGAAGATTCAATTCCTCCGACAACACCAGCTGAGTGGCTACCCCAAGCTGCATGATAACAGAGCCTAAAACGAGTTGATTCATCACCATGGTACATTTCTGTTCAGTATTTGGCTGCTCTAACAAGGCAGGAAAGACAACAGATTACCCACAATCATGAAACACCAAGGAGATAAGACTCAAGAACTGTCAAAAAAGCTAATAAATATTTTTGCCAGTCAAGACCTGAACCCAGTCAGCTGTCAGTACAGGGTCTGTTCCGATCATTTCATCACTGGTTAGTCTGATCGATTTAGAGTTTAGCTGTTATGCTAACCAGGTGTTGACAACAGGACTAAGTTACCCAACATTAGCTAGCTAAATAGCGTGTAGTCTAGCTATTAGCATTAGTTTCTCTCATAGGCTGCGCATGAGTTTCAAGTTTTAGGGAAGCTATTTTTTCCACCATAAAAATTAACATTTATAATAAAGCATTGCATGCATCTATCATCACATTTGCAGACTAATGTAAACCTACTATTCCTAATGTGATGAGTAGATTGGACAGTCATAATTTAGGCTCTTAATATAACTCAGTCTAATCACTGTGCATGGCTCAACGCATAGTGGCATAGGCCTACAGGCTATATCAGAGATGTTTGTTTTCTTTCCTTTGCACAGGAAAAATGTGGCCTTTGATAAACACATTTAATAATAATAATAATAATAATAATAATAATAATATGCCATTTAGCAGATGCTTTTATCCAAAGCGACTTACAGTCATGTGTGCATACACTTTTACGTATGGGTGGTCCCGGGGATCGAACCCACTACCCTGGCGTTACAAGCGCCATACTCTACCAATTGAGCTACAGAGGGCAATGCAATTCTACTACACTGGAGACATTAGCAGAATATTTTTTTATACGACAAATCATGGGGTAGCCTAGGCCTTCTCTGCTGACACTGACAAACAGATCAATAAAAACGACCTTGTCTTGAATGCAAGCATCTAATCTAGGCCTACGAAAAGGGGAGACACAAATTGTACAATATGACGTCTATCTAGCCTGGAGGAGGATATTATTGTCCAAAAAAACTCCAGTGGCACTGACCCAATGATAATTTGTTGAGAACTTTATTCATAAAGAGTGACAATGTATGGCCATTACAGCATAGAACAAAGGCCTTAATGGGATAGGACAACCTGATGTGTTGACTATTGGTTCATCCAGCCCAACAATAGATTTAATCTTTATATGACACTAAAACACCTGAATTAAACACAACCAATCAAGAGCCCTGATGCTGTAGGTTCACCAGCTAACCTCTATCAGGACACCCATGTCGACTGGATTCCCACTGTGAAGATCAGCAATGCTGCAGCAGCATCAGTTTCTACTTCTACTACTTCGCCCATTTCCAGATATGAAAGGAGACATCCCTCAGTTAGACAAAATGGTTGTCATATGCTGTGCCTTGGTCAATCTGAATGATTCTGTTGTGCCATTTGAGTAGAGAGCACCTTCCCCTTGTCGTCATGACAAAAGTGCCCCCTTAAACCGAATGAAGGGTGTAGCAATAACTGCTGATTAAACAGAAACACAGTTTCACAGTAACTTATGTACACAT